GGTGCAGGGCGCGGGCGGGCCCGGGGCGCCGGGCGGGGAGCGGCCCCTGCAGGCCGGGGAGCTGGTGCTGGCGGAGGTGCGCAGGAGGCGGCAGGGGGACGTCAGGCACCTGTGCCGGCTGACGGCGCTGGGCCGGCTGAACAGCTGCTGGGGTATGGTGGACCACGGCCGCATCCTGGGCAAGCTGCCCGGGCAGATGTTGGCCACGTCCCAGGGCGTGCCCCTGCTGGTGCGCCGCCCCTCGCTGGAGGACTACGTGCTGCTCATGAAGAGGGGACCCACCATCTCCTACCCCAAGGTGAGGGGCTTGGGCCAGGCCGGGCGCAGCTGGGGCACAAAAGCAGGTTGCAAAGAGCCTCTGAGGGCTGGCAGTTGTCTGTAATGCAGGCCCTGAGGTCTCCTGGGGGATGCCAGCATCATGCCATGCACGGGAGCACACCAGAGCTGTTGCATAGGCAGCACCGTACCTAGACTCCTGGTGGTCCCGGGCAGACTCTTAGTATCGGCCCCCCTTCGCCAAAGATAATGATAATCGAAAGATTACCATTTTTGGGCCCCATTTCTGTCCAGGCCCCAGGCAGCATTTGCCCACAGCTGTGTTTGGCCCCATGAATAGGAACCAGAGTGTGCAAACCATCGTGCCCCGCGTTCTTTGCCAGAGGAGCAGTGCTCTGTTATTTCTCCATCATCAGGAAACCCAGTGAAAATTGGCCTTTGCCTAACTAAACGCCCTTCCAGTAGGGTTGCCAACCCTCCAGGATTGCCCCAGAGTCTGCAGGGGAGAAACAATAGGGCGGGTGCTCACTAAAATAAATACATTGAATCCGATTTATATAGTGGTCCAGTGGATTTTTAAACTGTGATAGTAATGTGCATTTGCCGTCTTGATGTAAAGTCTGCTCACCGTAATCCGTAACTGGTGCGGGCAAACAAGTGGCATGTTCACGTTGCGTGTCATGGGTGTGTTGGCTTTGTGGACACCTCCAGGAATAGATTCGGACAGAGCTGGCCACCCTGCCTTCCAGCCCAGGAAGCTAGTGGTGCTAGCACAGCTCCACAGGAAAACCGACTGGCAGTTCAGGCATTTGTGCTACCCAAGGGCCATTGGGAGGCTGAACAGCAGCATGGCCTTGGGTCTGAGGAGGGTGCCTCCAGGCTTAAAAAAAAAGACTGAGAATTACCAGTGTACAGTTTCCATCAAAAAAAAATCTGGAGTTGCTTTAGGTCTGTATTTTCAACACGGGCAGGTCACATTCACCTGCTACTGTAATTTATGGTCGATGGTACTGCCTGCAACTGATGAACTGAAATAGCCTGGCACCCTGTAGGATGCCTGTGGTTTCGGGCAGAAGGGCAGCTTGGAGGTGGGTACTAGTCTTACTCCTGGCAGGGGAAATGCCACCAAAAGCTTGTGAAACTGAGGCCCACTCCATGGTAAGGGTAGTAGACTGGGCTCTCCATGGACGGAGAATTAGTAAAATTTACAGTTGGGCATTTATTTCTGATTATCAGTCTATAGATATAACAATATATGATTTAGCTGCAACCAACAGGCAAATGACCAGCAGACTCCTGTGGCATGCCAGGCAGTCCTTATTTGAAATCTTTTCATATTAGAAGCACACATCCTCTCTGTAATAGAACCTCACTGTTAATTTGGAATATTGCAGCATTTTAAATGTAGGGAAACATCAGTAGAGTTTACTTTTAGGCTGCTTCCTTCACTCTGAAACAAAAGGCATGCAGTGGTTTGGGAGGGAAGGAAGAGGGGAGACATTTTTATTTTCACCAACACAATTTGCCATTTGCTTTATTAGATTGAGGAATATTGTTATTCACATAAAAATAAATTCTGTCTTTATGGCCTAGATCAGCATTTCTCAACCTGTGGGTCACAACCCAAAAGTGAATATTTCAAAGGGTTGCAAGTTGCAGTGGGGCAGAGGGGGAAAGGAGCAGGGGAGAGCTGCATGGCTGGACTGGCAGCACTGGGGGACAGCAGCATGGCCCCAG